AGAGGGGGCCGCCCGTGGCGCAGGACCGCTAAATTGTAAACTCGGGGGGGGTGCATGTGCGGATTCGTTGCCATAGGCGAGGTCTGCGGCACAGCCCCCCCCGGCCTTTTGCAATTTCCCCTGCTTCTCTCAGGACACCAGCAGGGAATCGAGACTATCCGAGAAGGAGGCCAGCCTCGGTTCGTAGTCGTTGCACGGTTCCTTCAAACTGCCTCTGGCAATCTCTGGCAGGTTCCTGACATTGAGCAAAAGGCAAAGCTGGAGAGCGGGCCGCCCGTGGCCCAGGACCTCTAAATTGTAAACTCGGGGGGGGTGCATGTGCGGATTCGTTGCCATGGGCGAGGTCTGCGGCACAGCCCCCCCCGGCCTTTTGCAATTTCCCCTGCTGCTCTCAGGACACTAGCATGGAACTGAAGAAGGTGAAGTTGGAATCGAGAGTATCCGTTCCCCAGGCCCGCTGAATTGTAAAATCGGGGGGGGGGCATCTGCCTCTCCGCGGCCAGGGCTGCTGACTCTGTGGATGCCCCCCCCCCAAGTTTTACACGCTGATGTTGCCTGGAGTGGCACCGAGTGCAGGATCCTAGCAATGTGAAGAAGCCGAAGCTGGAATCGAAACCATTCGTGGACGAGGCCAGGTGAGTCCTTACCACACTCGCAGGAAGCTCTTTTCTACGCAGCAGGTTCCTACTGCCGTGGTGAAAGCGAAGCCGGAACCTGGGCTGCCTGTGGTCCAGGCCTGTCTAGTCTGTTGCCCATTGTGAACTGCCTGTTCCCTTTGTTTTGGATGGCAGGAGATTCCAGTTCGAGCTCCGGGAGCTGTGTTCGCAGCTGCTGTTGGTGACGAGATGCGCCGCACTGGGACTAGCATTGCATGGCGAGGAACGATGTTGAGACACAGCTGCAAGTAGATAGCACGTTGTTCTGTACAACGTCCCTTGCATCTTGCCCGTGTCTGTGATTGTGTCTCCTAGGGATCAGCTACCCCTGGCCACCTACAACCTGATCTTGTCCTTGCTGGGAAAGAGCTTCCGGAGCACGTTCTATGCCGTCGCCATGGCGGAAGCAGCGGCCTACTACCGCTACATCGACATGGGCTTTGAGGCAGGGGACTGGGCGGAGCTCGCCACGGAGCAGCGGAATGCACTGGTTCCTACCGACCCTGCGGGGTTCCTCTCGAGCCGTGATGATTGGCAGGCGCGGGCAGAGCTGTGGGATCCCGATGACCCGCCGGAGCCTCTTGCGGGCCGCCTCGCTGCGATGGACGATGATCTCCGGGCGCTGCTGTTGCTCATGGTCCGTGCGCTGCCGGAGCTTTTCGAAGAGTTGCATCTCGATGTGCCGGCACTGAAGAAGGAGAGGGGCCAGGTAGCTGATTCTCTTTTTGTGGATGTGGCACATGGGCTCCTGGCACCGTACCCGTACGAGCCGGCGGAGATGGATGTCGAGATGAGCTGGGCCGGCTTGCTTCATGGCCTGGTGCGAGTGGCTGAGGCCGTGCTGGGTGCAGAGTGGGCCAAGGACCTCTGCATTTGCCTGGCATCATCAGAGGACAGGCTGCGTCAGTTGGAGCTGCAGGCTGGGGCCAAGGTTGTCTTCAGTGTGGTGTGCTCTGACGTCCACTGGTCATGTCTGGCCATCCTTCGCGGTCATGCCGAGGGCCTTTTCTACTGCGGCAAACAGAACACTGTGTGCAAGAAACAGGCTGCAGAGCTACTGCAGGCCGCCAGTCTTCAGCACAACTACGAGTATCGACTACAGTCACAGGCCGTGTCCCCTCAGCTTGATCATTGGTCGTGCGGGCACCGAGTGCTGTTGTGTTTGTACTTTGTCCTGAAGGCCGTGTCCGGGGACTCTGGCTGGCCAGTTCATCTGCCGGCGGATGCCTTCAGCCGCAGCAATTTGGCATGGATATGCGAGGCAACATCCAAGACAAGGTCCCGCGGCGGGGAGAGGGAGGAGCAGCAGGCACCATCCGGCGTGGGGATGAAGCAGGAGGTCCACTTTGGACCCATCCAGGATGCCGTGGAGCATGGTGGGAAGGGGGAGGAGCAGCTGGCATCATCTGACCTGGGGATCAAGCAGGAGGCCCACTTTGGACCCATGCGGCCGGCGATCCAGGATGCTGCGGAGGAGGAGGAAGGGGAGGACGGCGACGGGGGGCAGGGCAAGGCACGTGCTGCAAAGCGCAAACGGGCCAAGAAGACCGACCACGCAGCTCTTGGGTTGGAGATCGTGAAGGAGGCCGGCCTCAGCTTCAACACGGACTTCCAGGCAGAGCATGCTCGACTCAAGCTGCCCTTACCGCAGAAGCACTGGCAGAAGTTCTGTGAGCAGATCAGCAAGAACGGCATCCTGAACTGTGCCGCCTGTACTCTTCTACGAGAGCGGGTGAACCTTGCCATTGCCCAGAAGCCCAACCGGGAGAATGCCGCCGATGATGGAGCCGACGAGGATGCACCTGCGATCCAGGATGCTGGGGAGGCTGCTGTCGTCCCTGTAGCGGAGGATGCGATTGCCACGGACCCCGGTGGGGTGGTCAAGAAGAGACGTGGACGTCCTGTCAGCAAGGAACAAGGACCACGCCTACACGACAGCATCCAGCAGCACAGGCCCGAGGTATACAGGTTAAAGAGTGGTGCCCGCTACGATTGCTTGGCTTGTGGCTGTGAGGTCAACTTCCAGCGTACAAGCACCTCCGGCTGGGATTTCCTGCTGCAACACGAGAAGTCAGCCAAGCACACCAAGGGCCTCACCCGGCTGTCAGCCCATCATGATGAACAAGACGAGGAGCCGCTGCTCGCACTGCCAAGCAGCGGGTGTCCAGGCCATCTCCTAGGAGCCAGTGGCTGCATGCTGCAGCACCTGGAGGCCGGGAGTTCCCATAGTTACCCTAGTTGTTCAGGGCCTAGGGAAGGGGGGAGGGGTCTGAGATTCTAGCCTAGACTTAGGAAACAATAGACAGAAGCTACGATCAGGCCAGCATCCGTGCATGGGTGTCTTCGGGGATGCTCCAGATCAAGGGAAGTGAGCTCAGCAAGCTGGTTGTGCAGCCGATGGAGGATAAGATCCTGATCCGCCACATGAACTGTGCTGGCACCTCGAGCGCCACACTCTGCGTGGCCTGCCGACAAGTTCCGAAGCGAAAGCCGTTCATGCAGGACATTGCCCGTTGGTCACTGCGGTTGGACCAGGCAAGCCTGGCATATCACTGCGTCTATAGGCCGGAGGAGGTCGCGAAGCTGCTTGGCGAGATGCAAGCCAAGGACTACCAGGCCATCTGCAAGGATGACATCCAGAACTGCATGACGGCATACAGCAATGGCGGATGTGCGAGCTTGCTCGAGCTGTGCACCCGAGCCTTCTTTTGCATCAACAACAGGATCCGCACACCACAGCTGCAAGCCTTCATCGCGGCCAACCTGAGCGGACTGTCGATGCCTCCAGACGACGAGAGTGCGGCATATTCGGAGCTGTGCCGGAGCCAGCTCGAGGTGTCATCCAACGTCCCAGCACCGCGAGGTTCCTGGATGAAGGGACTCGGATGGAGATCATGCACATGCTCGGCCGCACAACTGCCACCAAGGACGTCCTCAAGGCCTTCCACGTGAACCCGAAGAAGGCCATCGGCGCTATCGACCTGCAGGCGGAGTACCTCCCTTCCTTCTTCGTGAGTCACGTGGACACGGCCAAGCAGCAGGAGAGTGCCTCCCTCATCGCCGGCATGCTGGGTGGCAAGCAGACTCGGTCGCTCGTGGTCTCCATCGACGAAACGGTCTGGAAGGCTGGTTGGGAAGCCGTCTCAGCATTCCGAGGTGCTGGAATCTCCATCTTGGGAGGCGGATGGGCCGAGGGCAAAGACATGGCCGTGCTGAATCCCGAAGATGCTCGACCAGACACCGCTCTGGCGAAGATGACATTGAGTGTCATCGTGACAAGGGCAGATTCCAACAGCCTCGCCTGCGAGCTGGACATGACTCCTGTCTTTCAGGGCAAGGACCAGGGCAAGTCCGACTTCATCCTGAAGATCACGGGGCAGTGCATGAGGTCGCTGTCGCGGGCCTGTGCGGGGATTCCCCCGCTGAGTGTGTCCTTTGACAACGGGACGTCCAATGGCCTCCTGAACAAGGCACTCCTCGGTCTGCTGCAGCCTTCCGAGCTCGTCGGGGTGCCTTTTTTTGCAGCGTGCTCGAAGCAGAAGGTCACTCAGATTCCCATGTTCCCGTTCGGGTATCTTGTCTGGAGTGCTCCGGGCGAGGAGAAGGCAGCATCGTATGCGGTGACGGGGTTTCGGGACCTCTATCATTGCATTAAGAACTACACACTACAGCACATGAGCTTCACCAGAACGGTCAACCACGGCCAATTCTGGTGTGAGTACTTGCCCATGTTGCAGGGTGGATTGTCGGCACAGGCGTTCAGTGCGAGAGATGCTCAGAGCGACAAATGCGCTTTTGCAAGGCTGAATCCCGCCCACCTGGCTGCCTCTACCTGGCTTGGCGACGGTGCTCGCTGCATGATCTTTCTGGCCTCCATCATGACATCGGCCATACTTACAAGGCAGACTCCGGCCGTGACCTTTGCAAACGCCTGCTGCGCCTACTACTTGATCTGCCTCCATGTCAGTGAAAACATGAGGCGATTTGGCGGTCGGCACAAAGACTTCTCGCTGCCAAGCATCACGGTGAGGAACCTCGCACAGATGCTAGCCCATACGATGCTGGCATGCCTCACACATGAGACTGGAAATGCCTGGGACCTGTCGTGCCGACAGGAAAGGGTGTGCGAAAGCCACTTCAGCCGGATAAAGCGGCCCTACGCCGGGACACCGTCCATTCGCGACGGTGTTTACGGGACTGTCCTGGAGCACCTGCGGGTTTACAAGCAGTCCTTGAAGAGCAAGTGGCCCGATCCAGCGCCGCGGGAGGGAATCACCATGCAGCAGGCAACGGAGCTCGCTGCCCGGGCCATGCAGGACGCCTGCTTCTGGCAAAGCTTCCTCTCGAAGTCTCGTTCGGCGCAGACCTTGCGGCACGACTTGGAGCATTGGTTTCAGACCAGTGGCAAAAGGCTCCTCACCGGCTTGGGAGCTGATTCCGAGGACGAGTGCGAGGAGGCCGCCGAGGGCCTTGTGGAGGACTGGGTGGAAGAGCTCATCCCGGACGAGGAGGAGGATGAGCAGGAGGCAGAGGCAGGCCAGCTGCTACAGGCATGTGATGCCCACGTGGAGATCAAGGAGCAGATCACGACCTTGCAATCCGAGCTTGCAGCCTCGGCGCCGGCTGATGCCTTGGACGAGGACCTTGTGACCCCCTCAGTGGAGACCGTCTCCATTGAGAACTTGTGCGTGACCGACTTCTTCTTGCAGATCCGACGGCTCCCATCCGTTCAGAGGGAGCTGAGCGAGGACAACTTGATCGCCCTGCTGCAGCAGAGAATGGCCGAGGCCCGTCCTCTGCTTGATGAGTGGTGCAAGCGTGTTCGATTGCAGGAGAAGGAGCTCAGCACTGCCGCTGTGGAGCAGAAAGATGTCCGTGGCGACAACGAGTGGAATCGTGTGCAGCACGAGTTGTGCCTGGCTCGCCAAGCGAGCATCCTCACGTCTGGCCAGAGGACGAGCCGTCTGGCAGCATGGGCCGACAAGCAGCAGAACCTCCAGCAGCAGACACCGGCAAGCGGCGCAGAGGTCGTTCCTGGAGTGGCTCCGGTTCGCTTCCTCGGGAGCACTGCTGATCACATGCAGGTCGTCTTGTTCGTGAGAGGCGACGGCCAGCTGTGTCACGGCCTCGTCTTGACAGTCTGGCGGGGGGCGGTCCTCAAGAGTCCAGGTCGGCGGATGCAGACTCAACGTCCAGCTGCAACGGTGCTGCCCGTCGCCCATTGTGGACGGCTGCGGGTGCTTGAGCTGGTGCCGGCTACGCCAAGCAGCTGGGTAGCGACGAACCTCTGCCCGTGCTACATCCTGGATCGGCTCGATGTCGTGGCAGTCTTCCTTCCCGATGAGATCTCCCACAGCGATAACCGATCTGTGCTGAAATACTTCCCGGAGGTAGGGCTAAAGTTGCTAGGCTAGGGTTCCTAGGGTTGAAAGTTTAGGGTCACACTTTCCCTGTCAGTCCATGCAGAGCTTGAAGACCTTCGTGGAAGCGGAGAGCTGGAAGCTGGGCGACACGTCCCAGAAGCAGGCACCACGGGAACAAAACATTAGGGTTTATTTAGGCTGCAGGGCTTAAGGTTTCGGCCTGAACATACCTGAACGAAGGAGGCCGAGCTGCCGTGCCTCCCGGTGCAGGGCTGGAACAACCGGCAGTTCACGCCGGCTCTTGTACAGAAAAACGCGACTTTGTATCTCCGTCGTCTGCCGAGTTTGTACAGCAGCACCTCCACGCCACTCTTGGATGACAAGGAGTGCTTCCGCTCTGGCAAGAAGTCTCTCAAGTGGGAGGAGATTTGCAGCAGAGCCGTCATGTATTTCGACACCATTTTGGTAGGGAAGGCTGGCCAGGTGTACAGCTCGCATGTTTTCAACATGTTGGCCGAGATGCATCCTTCTCGATCCGGATCCTTGAAGTCGGTTGCTAAGTTCGTGCGGGACGTGGACTCCATAGCACCTGCATGGCTAGCCCTGTCGGCCTAGGCTCGTGATAGCTCGTGTTTCCAGTTTCAGCCGCGAGTTGCAGCACGTTAGGGGTTCTCAGTCTAGGCGTGTTCGGGGCCGGTCACACGGGAGCACACGAACTTTAAGCGACTTCAAACCCTAAACCCAGAACTCAGCACGCTGTTGCAGGGAGTCCCGTTCGAAAGCCGTAGTGCTTCTTGAAGAGACTCGAAGACTCTTGCAAAGGTCCGGTGGAAAAAATGAGACAGTGCGCATGCGATCGTCTGCCAAGCTGAAGCCTTTTGATGTGCATACACATATATATATATATATATAGAGAGGAGCCACACCTCGATTTTACAATATGTCTGTCTGCCATCCAAAGGGAGCCGAAATTGTAATATACAATTTCTGCCCCCCCCATGCTGAAGACCGTGGGGATAGCGTGTAGTTTGGGTCGCCGGCAGCTGTAGCGCGGAGTAGATTCTGACGCCAGAGCACTGCAGGCGGGAAAAAAAAGAGGCAAAGTAAAGCGAACGCCGCTTCGATCAAGCGTTGGCAAGTTCTACTCGCGAGGTGAACAATTTGTACAACTATGCAGCCTCGGACCGGCACACATGTAGCAACAGCTGCGCCGGCATCGTCGTCGGCGGGCTGCGCAGGGGCATGCTGGGGCAAGGCAGCGCCACGACGAGCACGTCAGTGGCTTCGAGCAGGTCCCGAGTGCCTGCCGAGAAGTTGCGGGCATCCAAAGCCTGTGCCAAACCTTGCAGGAAGGGTGCATCCCATGCGCTGGCCCACGACGCCCATAAAGCAGCAGGCGCGTGCAGCACGGCACTACGCAGGCCAAGGCGCGTCTCGAGCGCTGCTGCTGTCGTACGCCGGGCCAGACGCTGCGCGCGCTTCCATGCCCGGTCCTCCCAACCTCATCTGAGGTGACGCTGCCATCTTTTGCGTCCTGCTCCTACAACGGCTTCGCTTGTCGCTACCAGTCGCACCTACCTCAACCGCCTTGGCCCATTCGGCCTCGCCCATTCTTGCCAGCTGCATGCCCTGACATGCCTACGTAGTTTGGTTCAAAGGTCCGTTAAAAAACATGGTTTTGGGCGCCCTGCTTTCGGACCGCTTGGACAGCCAGAAAAAGGTGTGTGGTGTGAGAAGGGAGAAAAAAACGGGTGACCACAGGGTTGCAGCATCTCGAGCCCGGCTGCCCGCAACGTTCGCCGCATCGAAATTGTCGCGAACGGTCAGTCCTTGCCATGTAGCACAGCGCGCAGCAGTCTGTTATGCCACCATCGGCAGCCCCGTACCACGGGCGGGTGATGCCCAGTCTGGTGCAGACGTGCACTCTGGCCGTGCTGTTGATGCAAATGCCACCAGGCCTAAACTGTACCCCGCTGAGGTGACGGTGCCATCTCCACTCTTGTGCGTCCTGCTCCTACAACGGCTTCGCTTGTCGCTACCAGTCGCAATGCGCAGGTGCACCTACCTCAACCGCCTTGGCCCATTCGGCCTCGCCCCTTCTTGCCAGCCGCATGCCCTAACAAAACATGGTTTTGGGCACCCTGCTTTCGGACCGCTTGGACAGCCAGAAAAAGGTGTGTGGTGTGAGAAGGGAGAAAAAAACGGGTGACCACAGGGTTGCAGCATCTCGAGCCCGGCTGCCCGCAACGTTCGCCGCATCGAAGTTGTCGCGAACGGTCTGTCCTTGCCATGTAGCACAGCGCGCACCAGGCTGTTATGCCACCATCGGCAGCCCCGTACCACGGGCGGGTGATGCCCAGTCTGGTGCAGACGTGCACTCTGGCCGTGCTGTTGAGGCAAACGCCGCCACGCTTATACTGTACCCCGCTGAAACCGCCACTTGGCTCCGGATGTTCGCCAGGCACCGTGCCTCGGACAAGCGCCCGTTGGTCCGGGCTGCTGGCTGTCGCTGCACAGCGCGCCGTCGCCGTTGTTGGAGCTCCCATTCGCTTTGTTCATGCTGTTGCATGGGGGAAGAAAAGCTGGAGTGCTGAAGCGGCCAACTTCGTCCGCTTGTTGGCTCGAGCACGAGCATGCCCCGTCCTCCCTTTGCAGCGTGCAGCAACAATCGCTGCCTTCGTTGGGCGATGGTCGGGGTTCTTGTCGGTTGCCGCAGCCAGATCCTTTGCTGCCAGCTTGCTCTGCTTTCCTTGCCGATCTCCAATACCGCCAATGTTGAGGGCGAGTCACCTTTGCTCAGCGACGTCCTCGCTGACTCCGCCGAGACACCTCCATTTGCCTCCCGCTTGGCGTAGCGCGTGTGTGAGCTCTGCGCCGCCGGAGCCCTCGTTGCACTGGGAGGGCGAACCTGGAATCTCATAGCGTTTCGGGCTAACTTGTTGTGCCACACTTCGAGCAGGAGTCCTGGATGGTGGCTTGACCTCGTTAGCTGCCTGCACGTCCACTAGCCGGCCTTTCTTGCTGAGCGCCACGCCATCACGGCTTACAAGGCCAACCGCATCGGAAGCATGCAGGCAGGGGCAGGCATCGCGGTTCATTGCCCCCTCAGGATAAGCACGAGCCAAGCCATGGCCTCGGGCTCGCAAGGTTCCGGGCGAGGCTTGCTAGGAAGTGTTAATTTTTTGAGTTGCCAGGCCTTGCCTTGCGGTTCGCTCTCTTGTTCTGTCCCGGTGGGACCGATATGCTGGAGTTGCTAAAGCAATGCGCGCAGATCAGGCCCGGCAGTTGTGGCATGCGAGCTTGCCGACCCGGCTACTCGTAGTACAACAAAACGATGTGGCGTTCTTTGACAGTCTGGCCTTATGGCGCTTGATCCACTACCATTTTGCCGCTTAGTGCAGCAGCTCCGCCACTGAAGCTACAAGAACGGCTGCTAGACTTGGGGTCTCACGCTGCGAAGTTCAAGTCTGCTGTGGTGCAATCAGACGGCAGGCAATACTGCAGGAAACCCGGGACGCAGCTTCGGCAGGCACCAGCCCATCCACGCACGTGAGCACAGCGTTGCTCAAGTTTTGAACTAAGCCTGGAACTGATAGATGCTTGCATTGAATAGACGCGGTCAATATGGACCGCACGCCTTGATTGGCGATTGGTTTGTAACTGTTCCACCATCATATGCTTGTACACAGCAGCAGCAGCAGCCGCAGCAGCAGCAGCACGAGTCCCGAAACAACCGTCCAGTGGTCAGGAACTAACAACCTCGGAGTGTGAAACTTTTTCACGGACTATTCCATCACACCCACAGCTCAGAGGCAAGGCCAGAATATAGACACGAATCTGACGCCGTGCGGTCAGTTTCACAGGCACCCCACGAGATCCCAAATGATCCACGCCCTCGAATGCAGGCAGTATGATCACCTCATGGGTTGCCAGTTTCGTACGTGTGCAGATTCTTCGGACGCGTGCCCGGGCTGTTCCTTGCGTCGGCGCTTCCCTCCTGGGCCCCGCTGGAATATGCGCGCGAGATTTGTGTTATTTTTCTCGCACCTTTTTCCGTCTGCGCCACAACCGTGATTCCAGAAGAGGTGAGGCGGCCACGCCAGTCCGGTGGAGGCTGATCGCGAGCTGCCGCCAGCAACTCTCCCAACGGCACCAGTCGGGTCGTGGGGCTCAGCTATGGGCAGCTCAAGGACTCAAGGAGCGAGCAGGCACGCCGAGCTTGCCTCAGTTCCGGGTAAGCTCGATGTTTGCAACGACTGCTTGGGCTAAGGCGAGGCCCGGTTGCTGGCAGCCCGTGGTCGGGGCCGGCGGACTGGGCTCACGATATCTCAGATGGGGAGGCCATTGGCGACGACCTCTATGCGGCGTCCGTCGCTCGCAAGCAGAAGTCATGCACGGAGGGCGACACGGGCCCCCGCCTCCTTACAAAAGCGTGCTGCCGCTCGCTCGAGGGGCTCTGCGGGGCAGCACGCCAACTTCCGAGCGATGGTCGCCGTACACATCCTGGGCAGGGGCAGCTCTTCGGGGCGAAAGGGAGGGGCAAGCGGAGTCGGTGGAGCAGCATGACTCGGTACTCCACGCTCGTTGGGAAGGCCGTGAAGGCGCAGCTCGCCGCATCGCCAGCCTGTGCCAGCAGCAGCGCCCGAGACGTTGGGTCAAGGTCGCTAAAGGGCATCTCGAGCGCGCACTTGCCAATGGTTTTCGATGCCATGCGTTGCCAGCCCGGTCTTCCACCTGGAGTAGATCGCGTTGTGCGCGCAGGTTGTCCCGCAGAGCTGGCCGGCCACCTCCCTCATCCAGCGCTGTTCATGCAGCACTCTTCTACGGCCCGCCGAGCGCACACGTTTCCAACTACGAGGAATGTGTAGCGCACGACATGCAACAAGGCGAAGGACGAGAGCAAGGCGACCGACCCATTGATGCCAGGACAACACCAAGCCCTAGTCGAGGCCAAAGCCAGCGGGCGGAGTGTTCGCGCAATGCGCGGACGGTGTCCGCCCACGAGCTCCAGCAGGCGGCGTGGCGTAGTCGCTCGGCAGATCCGGTTCCCAAGCCTCCCATGCTCAATGGGAGTTGGGCATGGAGGTCTGGAAGCGGCATGTCGCCATCACCGCCCGCCAGCAGCGTTGCCAAGCAGCGCTGGATGGCAGCATCGTGCAAAACAAAAGGCGAAGTTTGTGGTGTCGGCCGGCGGCAGGGTTCGCAGCAGATATATGCTACGGGGTGCTGCGCTGTGTAACAGCAGTAGCCATGCAAATTTATGCAGATTGATTGCAACTCGGGTACCCGCAAATTCCGTAGCAAGGCGGTCGCTGGGCGAACTTCGCGGAGATGAAGCAGCGGCTGCCAACAAGGCTGCCCAGATCACCATCGGGACCTCGTCAAGGAGTCGGGGGCCTCCTTTCCTGCGCTGTTCCATGCACGTGTTTGGCCGAGGTGCACCTGGATGTTGGCATGTCGCGCACGACGGCAAACTGGCCCGCTGTGTGTTCGGGAGGTTGCCTGACATATATGTCATCTAGGAACGCATCAAGAGTATTTGATGGGTGATGGCGCTGATAGGTTCGCCGAGGCTGACAGCATGCTCTGCCGGGAAATGTGGAAGCGCCAACACCGGACGCTGACGACTGTGGTCCGGGACCACGCCTTGCGCGCCCGCCTTGGTGCTGACAGCGTACTGGAATGGCGCACCTGCGCGCCGGCATTCTTCGCGGAGCTACTGCGTGGAGAGTTTCATAACGCAACACCAACCTTTTTTTCCCGCAAGACTGGTCTCGGCGGCCACCTCTACCTACACCCGCGGACTTTTTTTTGACACACACACACACACTTTTTAACGACAAGTCCACGCGGTCCGAAACGTTTGCGTGGTCGGCTACTCTGCCACTTGGGCCCTTCCTGATGAAAAGGACGCGATATTCGAGCAGCTCCGGCTACTGTACTTCATGAAGCGGTTGCAGGAGATGGCCGTGGGCCATGCGCTAGCACCCTCGAGCAAGAAGTGGCCGCCGAAGCGGGCTGGAGAGAAGGGCTTGCGACCAGCGTGCCTTCCAGATGCGCTTCACTACCGCACCCTTACATCCAAACTGCTGCTGTCCCAGGCTGGGCCACATGCCGCACGCTGCGGCGCAGTCCGACCTGGGCACAAGGTGTCAGTGCTGAGTTGCGTGAAAGCAATCCGGCTCCGGCGACATCGGCTGGCATACGCTGGGCCCCACGCTCGTGTCCGTGCTGGCACTATGTTTTCCATGAGATCTGCTGGCGGATGCGGGTGACACCGAAACAATGCTTGCCGGCCATCTGCGCGGCGTAAACAGGTGCGAAAGAAGCAACGACACCGCCAAATGCGGCCTTCATATGCGGCCCAGCGTGTTAAGGCAAAGGGCAACATGCGCAATTTTCACCATATGCTCGTTTCTTGCTTGCTTTGTTGGTAGCAAGCACCTGGCTGCAACTGCTTCCCGCGATGTTGCACCACCAGATTGCAGACACGCTGATCTGAACCCGCATCATGATGCATCATGGAGAGCGAGGCCGCGGGCACAGACGGCCAGGTGGTCGCACCCAGCTTCCAACGTCCCCGCCCTGAGGCTCATGCGGGGTGAGACCAAGGTTGCGTCGCAAAAAAAGCGCCCCGTCCAGCGGACTGGCCCGGTGGACCACCAAGTCTAGACGGCGCCAATGTGCCGGTGTGTTGGGTCTGTTCCAAAGTCATGTGCAAATCAGGACGGGCTTGACATCGCTTGGGGACAGGCATCGCATGGACTTCATGCATTTGCACATGTCGATCTCCTGCAGCTTCTTTAAGATGAAGCCTTCATGAGCAAACACAAAGCCTGCCGAAGCCAACGGCAAGTCACTAGCATGAAGCAGCTACCTTTGTCACGGTGAAATTTGGTGATGTGAAATCCACCCATGTTGGGCCATGGCTGCCAAAACCGAAGAAACTAAACTAGTTCGTCTTGGATCAGCTGAGTCTTGCCTGCAAGCTTGACAAGCTTGGGATAGCTTGTCACCTCATTTACCGGAAGATGTGTGCGCTCATTTTTGAACTTTTTGGCAGACAGTTGGCTTGCAAGGAATTCTTGGTGGACGGTTTTCTTTTCCAACGTCGAGTGCCCAGATTCGGAGATGTTCTGTGCGTGCACGTTTCTGGTAGCCGTTCAGTACGGACCATGTGTGGAGCCAGGAAAGGATGTTTCACACTACGTGCTGACCCATTTCCACAGTGATCACACTGTGGGGTTGACGCGAAACTTCGATTGTGGAACTATTTACTGCACGGAGACTTGGTGGCATGGTGAGATAGATGTTTGCCCCGGGACGCATTCTGTGAGAGTCGAATCCAGTCAGCAAGTCAGGCTAGTCAGTTGCACCTAGTGAGGGGGGGCCGCCCCGGGTTAGCGGAGCACAGCATGCTGTAGTTTGTGTTTTGTGGCTTCCATCGATTGCCCTGTGCCACTCTGCATGTGCTGTGGATGTGCAGAGGATGTGACGGCAGCCTTGATCACTGAAATGATGGGCGTGGACGCCGCGCGGGTGGTGGCATTGCCACTGCAGCAACCGTTGCAGGCAAATGTGCTAGGCTGTTCGGGACGATTTGAGAGAAGCAGGCAGATCGGACGTAGCAAATTTAATGTGTCATGCAATGGATATTGGCCCTCGTTCTCGTGTTCAAGCCACGTGACACATTCTCGACCAGTTTACACCATTTCGGCTCCAGTAGGTCCTCAAGTTCCATGGTCGATGTAGCATTTCGAACTCGAGGTAGTCGGACATGCACCGGGGACAAGCTGTCAGCGCTCATGGTCACAGCAAGTACTGCAGTGCTCACTACATTTGTGAGGAGCTCTGCCCCCATGGAACCCAAGGATCCAAAGTCGGTGGCAGAAGCTGCCGTCCGTGCAGCTTTTCGTGAGGCCGATTTTGTTAAATCATGTTTTGGGCTTTCACTCTAATTCAGTTTTGTTGTCGTTTGTGGATCCCTGTGCGCGAGTTCGACACTGACAAGAGTGGCTTCATCGACCGCGAGGAACTCAAAGCAGTGCTTGCGGCCTTGAATCCAGACCTCGCGAAGAAGGACCCGTGTAGCTGCGTGGTCCTTTCGTCATCAATGTCGTGTTTGATATGGGGGAGCCATCTTCCCGTTCCGTCCAGATGCCCTCTGCCTTAATTGTTCGCTTATCCCTTGTGTAGCAGCGCAGCAGCACATTCAAGAGTGTCTCCTGGAGGATGAGGAAGTGGATAGACTTTTCAAAGCCTCGGATGCCAACAAGGATGGGAAGATTTCAGTGGAAGAGTTTTGCAACTACGTGTTCAGTGAGAAAACCTCAGCTGTCCACACGTGGCACCTCAAGGACGGGAGAGTGCAGCAGAAGTTCATCGATGGCCGTACTCGAGTTACATTTCCAGATGGGTGCACGATTGATGCATACAAGAACGGCTTGAAGATTCAGACCGACATTGATGGTACAACGCTAATGACAGATCCGGATGGACTGTCGCAAACCAGTGTCATGCCTGATGGAACTTGTATCATGGAGTCCGCAGACGGCAAAGTTTTCACAAGAAATCCAGATGGTACAAGCATCACACAGGATCCGAGTGGAACTTGTGTCCAAATCGATCCACAGGGTGACCGCACGATCACTGACCCAGACGGGCGCACAACTACCCATTTTGCCAACGGCGCAGTGGTGGAAAAGTTTTCGGCACAACAGTCTGCTAAAAATGGAGCTACCCGTGTTCAGCGTTGCGCGTCTGGAGCACTAATTGTGACATATTCTGATGGCAGGAAAGTCCAGTTTAGCCCTTCGGATGGTATTCTCTTAGAAACAGCCGGTGACGGCAAGACAAGCCTGCAAAGGCTTCCTGACGGCTCTGGCATTCGCCACCACAAGAAAAACCCTCACAACGATGAGCATTTGTCGTCCTTGGACATGGATGCTGAGATCTCCAGTGGACGGAGTAAACTGCCGAAGCAGGCAGCAACGCCTCCAGTCGTCGAGTTTTCATCCCTAGCATCGCCCCTGAACTGTGAGATTTTGTCGGCGCCTGCATCGCCGGTGAAGAGAAAAAGCAGCCTCAGAAGCCTCCAAGAGGAATCTCCAGTAATCGCATCTGGCCAGTGCAGTCAAGACTCGCCAACATCATCAGTACCACGAGCGGTCGCCGTGGACCAGTTGACCGGTGGAGGCCAGCGGACCACTTTTGAGGGAGGCCTGGTTGTTGACCATCATGTGGATGGCACAGTCCTGGAGACACAGCCAGGTGGACAATCGAAGCAGATCAACCCAGATGGAACCATCATCTTGGTGGACAAGGCATCTGCAACTGAGACGACCTTGCGCCCGAACGGGACAAGTATCACCAGGCATGCAGACGGTCACACCATACAGAAGAATGCAGATGGAACCACTCTCATTAAAGCCTCCGATGGTCTCCTGACCCAGATTGATCCAGATGGAGGTCGCATAGTGACCCTTCCGAATGGCGAGAAAACCAGCCACTTTGCAGATGGAACGGTAGTCCAGAGTTGGCCCAACGGAGAAAAGCACCAGACCTTTCCCGATGGTTGTACAATTTCAACACACCCAGACGGATCCTCGGAACAGGTTGATCCTGATGGCACCAGAATCATCGCTCTCGCAGACGGCTCCAGCACAGTACTGAAGCCGAGCGGTGTGAAGATCATAGCTGCAGCCTCAGGTGAGACGCTTCAGACAGACCCGGATGGAGGTCAGATTCGGACCTTCTCAAATGGTCGGAAGGTTCAGAAAAGTGCAGACGGCTCGATTTTGGAGATTTTTCCAGACGGGACCCTGCGACAGTGCAAGCCGGATGGATCAGGCTTTGAGCTTAGTAGTGGCAGCAGAATCCAGACAGACTTTGGCCGGGGCACCTTGACGGCCACTTTGGATGGCATCCGCGGCGTGCCGAAAATGTTGCGCTAAATGCGCACAAAATCCTTGTCCCGTAATGTGCCAAGAGTCAGTACAGAGCATTCAGCTTGCAGGTTCAGGGTGTGTGGCTGACCTTCGTGGATGCGGGACACTGTCCCGGCAGTGCCATGGCGGTATTTGAGGACTGGGACTTGCAGATATGTGCTCGCAGTCATTTTACGTTGAGCTGCCACACACACATATGGATTTAGATGTATTTCTACATAAATAGATGCACACAGAAACGTGGGTATATGAATATCAAACACATAATTACATGTCTAGCTACTCGCCTACCTGCAGAGGTGCTCGCATACGTGCAAACAGGTATATACACACATGCAGACAGACAAGTAGCCAAACAGACAGACCGAAACACCACCTCGCGACCGACGGACGGACGGACGACGGACAGACAAACGGAGACTAACATTAGATTATGATTACATTACGCTACATGGCACTACTCCACATGACGTTGCATTACATTTCACCACACTGCGCCTGACTGGCATTGCATTGCTGCGCATTAAGCTGAAAGATATTATGGCGCATTAAGGCGCATTGCATTGCACGCGGTATCACACAGTATCAGACTTCCGTGGCGGCACCCGAGGCCCTGAGTAGGTGCACTGATCTGGGTGGACGGATGTGCGTGCATGTGTGCTTGTGTTGGGGGCATGTATGTGCTCAAAAATATGTGCAGGTGTAGATGGCAGTGTGTCGCCGTGTGCATGCAGGCTGTTTGTGGTACCCTTTGCTTGTTCGTCGTGCCTGCTGTAATGGTTCCCTACGTCGCAGTGCTGGACTGTGCGAGGTATGGTACGGCGTGGGTCAGCTTGTACGAGAGAAAAAAGAGAGATTAGTGGTTGCTCCCTCTCCGATTACCCCTGCTCGTGCTGAACACGGCTGTGCAGAAGCGACAGTGTTGTAAGCATGCAATCTCAAGTGTGACTATTGTACCCACGCTTACTCCTCTGTTGCGCCCCAATGGTGAGCAATGTGCCCGGGAAACGTTCACTGGCTGCAAGCTTGCCTTTCCGTTGATGCCGATGTCAATAACGAGTTTGAGTTCGAGGAAAACGTATGTTCAATTCCACCTCGCATGCTTTTCATCATGAACTCTTGTCACGGTTGTCCAAACCATGCCCATGCAGCATGGGTGGGATCAGCGGTTCTGTGCACACAGTTGAGCAAGTGTTGAGCACCTTTACGGTTGTATAGGAGGAAGGAGGCAATTCGTACCCGGACCTTTTCTGAGGCCTCGGATGACCCACGTGTAACAAGGAATTAGTGGGTTGCCGTTTGCAGTGTTGTTTTGGGGTTGTGTCGGGCGTCGGCCTTACGGACTGTGTTCTAGGGAGCCACGGATGACCTGAGTGCAGCCTGCAGTGGTGTAGTGGTCTTTAGGAGTACTGGTGCTTGTTGGGGGACGTTAACACATCGAAGTCGCCGAACACTGTCTTCAACCCCCAAAGAAGGGCCGAGCCACGAGACTGCGCACCAAGGGGATTTGGGGTCAGGAGGCTTCTTGTCCCCAGAGCCCTAGCAAGCAAGCAAGCAAGCAAGCAAGCGAGCGAGCAAGCAAGCAAGCAAGCAAGCAAGCAAGCAAGCAAGAGAGACTGACTCAGAGGTGGAACGGACGCTGCAACCCCGAATACAGGGCCGAGCCGACACACAGCCTCGCGCGTCGGCCTTCCCTGCGATTTCGCAAGCAAGCAAGACTGAGAGGAGGAGAAGACTACATCACGCAGTTTTAATGGAGGCGAACCAACCAGATATCCGGTGCTATGCAGCAGGCGTTTGGAAAGAAAGAGTCGGCGTTTTCGTTGTGGGAGCATGAGTGTGTGCGATTGCATTGTGCCGTCATGCACACATTGTTCATGCAGGCCGACAGGCAGGCTGGCGAGCATTGACTTGTTATTCACAGGAAGACCATTCCTCCGGGAGTTCCGCGACGCAAAGCGTTGTGCTCCACACAGGCCGGCATGATCGTACTCCACCTAGTTTTACTGTGCACTGCGTGTGTCAGACTTTGTTTTGCGGTTGCGTGTATCCCCCCGGATTCATCGTTCCATCGCGTATGAAGGTTATGGCTGACCTGTTGAAACCCAATGGTTATAGAAGTTCAAGAAGCTCCCAGTACGCCCTCGTGCATGCATTGTGCGTGTGTGCGTGTGTCTGTGTCTCTGGGTGTGCTTTATTGTTTCATATTAACTCACAACAGGGCTGCCGGTAGCATCTTGACATGGCATACTTGCTACGTCCTGCTATGTGATGCTAGTTCCATCCATGTTCATCGTCGATGCGGCGCTGTGAATGTTGATATAATCGTCGTTGGTGCTACGCGACCTAAGGACCTGAGGACATGCTACATAAGCGATGCCACGCCATTCAGCGCTGGGAGTGTGACGGCATAAGTAGCAATACAAAAGTATGGGTTTAGGTCAACATGAATCTACTGTTAGTGATCTTTCAAGGCTTGAATCCTGTCCACAGGTCGAGTACCTCGAGGAATCCTTGGTAAGACCTGGAGCTCCAGTTGCATGTAACAGGTGACTGCCGTGCTTCAGCGCAGATACGAGACGGCCTGATGGAGTGGCTAGCAGGTCGCACGGTGGCTGAAGCTCGGCTTATGGGATTTATCAGATGCTGGCAGCTTCGGCAGGTATTCTGGCAGTCTACGCTGAGTCTACACCTAGTCTGCACCTGAAGCCGAAGACCGGCAACATATGTGGCAAGCATTGAAGATCTGAGGAGCTCTTCCTGGACACCACGTACTGTGCTCGCCGCTGGACCTTCCCAGCACAGCGGCTTGGTATGTAAACAAACAAAGGCCGAATCGAAACTCAGAACATGATCAGCCACAAAGATTCTATAGCCGAAGCATCCACGCGGCGCTACAGAGTGTGAGGCGAAAGAGGCTATTCTCAGGAAAGCAGAATGGAAATCATTGAAGCCCATTTGAGAGAAAGGGGGCCTCTGCAAAACACTCCAGGCAAGAGGCTTGCAGCTGGCTGGCAGAACTGACTGCAGCGGAGCTCCAGCGTGAGCCCAAGACCCTCTTCGTGGTGCCCCGGCGAGAAGTTTTCCAGGGATGTCTCCCAAATGGTGTCAGCATAGCATCACCATAGCATGAGAAGTTGGAAGTCGATGTTTACCATGACAGACTGCCAAGACAAAGCCGCAGCCAACGCCACCAGATGTTAGAATCAACCCAGGTTGGATGCTACCAGATCGGGAAGGCGAGCATCCGACGCTGTAGGTGTAGAACAGTGGCCCTACCTTACGGTCAGAGCAGCAAAGGCACAGTCATCTCTCCGTAAGTAGACTCGTTCTGTTTCCGTTTCTCAGGAACGTGCGGCCCAAGCAGTGGCCGAGGCTGCTGGGTCCTCCGTTTTCGTCGAGCAGCGACGCTGGAAAGTCATCCAGCTTGCAGGCTTCTGGGGCCGGGGCAAGCATGGTCAAACGGCCTTCGGTTGTGTGCCGTGCCTTCGGCAGGTTGGGGCGATGCTTGCCTAAAGTCCGGCCAGCCTCTGTGGAGCATCGACAAGGAAGGCTGCTGTGTCTGGATGTCCGTTGCCTGGTTGCAGCGAGCGGCATGGAAGGGGCCTGCGACGGCACGAAAGATGCTTAGGCTTTGGGAGGTTTGGCTCACGATGTCTTGAAGCACTACCTGGACTCCACGAAGGCAGCGGGGAAGCTGGAAGCTTCAGAGGCTTGCGGGTTGCAATACTCAGAAGCTTGGCAGGGGCAGTTCGAATCGGTGGTGGCCTTCAGCCCGACCGGATGGGCATGGTCGCCCAAAGCCATGGCCAAGGGGTCGCTTGCCTGAGAGAGAGGCTCAGAGAGAGAGAGGGAGAGAGAGCGCACAAACATGCAGCCCTCCCTGATTACCGTTCCTCGCCGAGTACCAGGCGAGCCCGTCCACAAAATGCTGGATGGGGTTGCTCCCGGAGCTTGGGTGGGGACTGCCCACTCCTCATACCCCGAGACGGGAGGAGAAGAGAGAACAAGAGAGGGAGACACAGAGAGCTGTGGTCTAGCTTTCACACCCCCACCCAAGTGCCAAACGAACATAGGGGGGCCTAAGTTGCCGTTGGGCCTTACCAGCCTTCCTTGACCCGGTGGAAGAAGAAGAAGGCGCAAAGCACAGTCTGTATATAAGTGAAGTTAGACGAAGCACGGCACACGCAGGTCGTGTGCGTGATGGCCTTAGGAGTGCTGGCTGCCGTGCCTGGATTGAGAATGATGGGCGCACCAGGGTCTACAGTGTGCCCTACAGTGACGTGGCAGACAGAGTCGAAGGGTGTCGTGACATATTTACAGCGCATTCTGTCCAACCGCATGTCACCTGGACCTAGTTTGGGGCATCTGGGCAGCCAGGTGAACACTCGTCGTTTACGGAGCTGCAGTCTTTCGTCAGCGCCATCAAGCCCGGGCGGTTGATTCCAACCGTAAACTCCGAGACCAGCGTGCAAAAAGCCATTGCAATGTGGCATCCGTAACCGGCCAGCTTGTCAATGGTATGTGTCACTTGCCCTCATGCATGCAAGGAGACTCGCGAAAGCAAAGAGCGCATGATGGCTCCCTTCTTGGATGTGCTGGACCTTAAATGCGATCCGGTCAGCCAGCTGCACAACTCCCTGTGCTCGTGGCACGTGGAGGTTGTCATTGACGCCTGAGGAACGCATGGACCACTACATTTTCGGGGGTAGCTCATCTTCATCAGCTTGCAAGCCGGAGACAGCGGCTTGCCTGAGAAGTCCAGCTTTTGTTGTGCAGACACGCACTCCCTCACAATGTCCAAGGTTGGGCGGTGTGAGTCGTTCGTCGACGTGCTGTCGCTGTCAAGCAGGGTGACGGATTCGCTGCCTCCGGAATCTGCGGATGATGCGGAAGACAGGCCTCGAGACTTGCACAGGCACAGTTATAATTGGTACGTCAATAGCAAACTTTGAAGGAGTGAACTCTTGAGGACTGCTGCGACGCCCGTCTGGCGGACCGGAGTGCTGTCTGGCTGCAGGCTGTCGCGTCGTTGCAGGAGACGATGGTTTGAACCGGCTTCGACCCCGCAAGATATTTTTGGTTTTATCTTCACTAGAAACCCACTCCGCATCAACATCTCGTGGTCTCGCTAGTGGTGATTGCCATGCGATCCAACAGCCTGCAGCAAAAATAACAGTGTGAAGCTGGCCCGCACCACGAATCTGGATGATGAATATTCTGCAATATGCTGGCTTTGACAGCCTTTAACTTGTTGATGTCCCTGCTCGAATCTGGAGTCAACCTTCTAACTAATTGAGCCGTGGAGGGATGTTTCCGGGTTGTTGCTCCGTGCATGGTTTGAGTGCATCGCTGGTTTTGGCTTGTTCTGCGGGTCACCGTTGACGAGATAAGCTCATTCAACCGACGTTCGTCCCGACCACTGTGCTCATCATGCAGATGCACGACAGGCCATGCAAATCAAGTCAGATCAAGTCAGCATGCACCTGAAGCCAGCTTGCATGATCTTTTAAGCTTGTGTGCCAGTAGATGACTAGTTCGGACAGCGTTGTATTCTGTTCAGTGCAGCAGTGCAGCCATGGCCCGGTTGCGTCGCCTGACGCTCATCGGCCTGTGGTGCTCAGCACGTGCGCGGACAGCCTCGCAGTCCCTGAACAACCTGTCCACCATTCCAGGTTGCCGAGGGAGGGCCGAGAGGGCCGAATAGGGCCACCAGTGTTTTGGGCTCATGTGGTGCAGTGGTGCAGTCTGACGAGTCTGTCGAGGCTCCCTTCAGCCTGTGGTGTCCTTCTACGAGGAAAAAGTCCGTCAGCCAGAGTGGTTGGAGGTCTTCGAAGCTGTGCGATGGTATTCCGATGCTGCTGCCGCGAACTATAGGAAGCTGAATCGATTTCTTAGGGACGGGCCGGGTCTGCTGGGGAAGCAGGAGAGGGACCTTTGTTTGCAGAAGGTGGAACTTCTGGATGCTCTGGGAGGGGCGGCGCCTGTTGTGGGAAAGACTGGTCTTACCCTCTGGCGAGGCTTCTCAAGCTTCTCTTACGTGCAACACCTTCAGGGATTAAGTGCCGTCGCAGAGTCTCAGCCTTTCCTCGTTAAGGACGAGGCCTACATGTCCTGCTCCCTGCTGCAATCCGTTGGAAACTTCTACGCGCGGCGCCATGCCTTGCTCCCTGAAGACTTGGAAGATGCCGTCCTCCTAGAGATCCAAGTGCCACCGGGTGCTCGGGTGATTTGCGTCTTTTGCAGTGGCGCAGGGGTACCTAATGAAGAGGAAGTCATGCTTCCAAGAGGCAGCACAATTCGGGTGGAACGGCTTGTTCCGAGGAGCTCGGAAACTTCCGTTCTCCAGGTCCAAGCAGTCCTCCTAGTAGACAATACAACATGCGAAGCTGAATAGCCGAATAGCCGCACTTAAAAAGCAAACCAGTTCGGCGTCCTTGCCCTTTCGCCTTACGCAGCATTGCTGTCGGTCGAACTCTAGGCAATGCCACATGGCCATGCGCATCAGGCATTTGAAGCCTGGAGCCATGGACCTGGACTCCGAGGCCTGTGCAGTCTGGCGCAGCGTGGGCGAGGGATGCCATATGACTTCACAGTTGTCTTGCTGTCCCGAGCCGTGTGCGGCTTTGTTCGTTGCACCGCATGGCCACAGGATTCCACAACCGTTGGTGGAAGCTCCTCTTCCACGTCTCCAGCACGAGTGGCCAGACCACACCTGGGGAGTGTGGGATGCTGCTGGCGTAGGAAAACCGAGGTCCAGGCCGACCAAGACCCGGAGATGCGGGAGTGGCCATCTACGACTGGCTCAGAATGCGCGGTGCCAGGCTCTAGACTCTAGACTCGCTAGACTCGACACGCGGATTGATCGCTTTTCCAGCGCCAAATTTCTTGAACTTCTCGTCAGACTCCGCAACCGGCTTGATTGTGGAGCTGTCGGACTCGCAGGACGAGGTTGCAGTTGAGTAGCTTGAGGGATCTTCAGGGCTGGGTTCGCACGGGACAGGCGGCGGAAAAAGTACCAGAAGCGGACGCTGAAGCGGACGATCTAGCGGACGCCGAAGCGGACGATCTGCGTTGTGTCGACGTGGAACAGCAGCGAAGGCTCATGTCTGCAGCCACAGGTTTCTTATGTACTAGTTACTAGTAGCACTTGGTCATCTGCACGCGACCGTGTCCTTTGAGGCTGCTTCGATTCTTTGAGTCTGCCGGTAGAAGTAAAGACGACAAAGATGCGAAGGCCCGGCACTGGGTTTCAGTCAGTGGAGGCATGTTGTTCATGGTGACGGTACCGCGCAGGGTCCGCCCAAGCTCGCTGCAAAGAAGCCGGCAAAGAGCAAGGGCAAAGGCAAGGGCAAAGGCGGCAAGGGCACGAAGGAGCCAGAGGCCGGGATCATCAAAAAAGGGCCAAGATATGCATCTCTCACTTGTCTTTTTTCTCGTGATGTCATGTCCAAGGCACCCGTCCTGAAGCACTTGGGTGTAAGACTCGAGAAGCAGGACTGAACAGGGAGCCGTCCCAGCCGTGCTGCACAGATGTGTTGAAACGTCATTCTCGGACTTCATTCTGCAGTTTGCCGCGAAGCGCAGCGCGATCGCAGGAGAAGCCGAAGGCTGCGCCACGCAAGCGGACCCAGTCAGGCACCGCAAAGCGGCAAAAGACAGAGCCAGGTCCCAACGCCGAGCCTCGGAGCTTTTCGTCGCAACTCTGAGACGGCATGGAGACTGCGTTTCGCACTGCAAGCCGAGGATCCGAAGCTGCCCGGAGAGAAGCGGCCAACGCGTTTCGTTCCGAAGCCCAGCGCGCGAGTGCAGGACATTCTGAACTGAAGCAGGGGCAAGGTCCGCCAGACTCGTGTGCAGCTTTTACCCTTGGGCTCAGGAGCGAATCGACAGAGCTTTCGGCCATCGGCTCTATTTTTTGGCTCGCAGCGAGTCAGGCTCTGGTGAAAAGCTCGATGCCTTTCCGCAAGAAATCGGAAGCATGTGCAGCGCTGCTGAGCAAGGCTGAGAGTGGAGAAGTTTGATAGCGCCCAAAAGCAGACCGCAAGAAGCATGCCCAGGATGTTCTTGGCAGCACCGGCAACGTCTACCATGTGGAACTGCAGCCGCAGGGGAATTCCTGCACTTGCCGCTCGCCTGAAAATCTGCTGAGTGGTGCAAGGGTTTGCCACCGGAAGACGCCGAGGCCTGGACTTTGCAAAGGGAGGCGGTGTGTGCAAGCACCTCCTGTTCGTCACCTTGCGAGTCGCTCGCATACCCATGCAGTGTCGAGTTCAGTTTGTTCGTCCTCTCTGAATTTCTCTTTCCCGTCACGATACATCAGCCTCAAGCGGAAGTGTGCACGGGGAATCTAAGGTCCTCAAGCTTGTACGGGATGACCACCGAGTGTGGCAGACAGGATTCACTTCATCGGAGCTGGCCCCATTGGTTGAGAAGCTTCGGAGCGAGGCACGGGCGGGTGGGGGTGGGTGAGCGTGCAGAATTGGAAGCCGCCAGGAGTTCCGCGCGGCGGCTGCTGGCGTGCAGGTGGGCTGCGGCAGCCAGGAGTTCGTTGTTTTAATTGGCCCATATCTATCAGGCGGATGCCACCATCATGCGTGGCTACCGGAAGGCCGGTAGGAGTGCTTTCAAAGGTTCCACCCGATTCCATCACACCCTTCCGAGAATGCTGCAAGGTCCAGGGCTCCCAGGATGCCGTCGTAAGGCAGCCGCTGCCAGCTGACTGTCCCATCTGCTTCGAGCAGATCGAGTCTGAAGAGGACCGGGACGGGATGTTTACTTTTTGGGCACAATTATGCAAGACATGGTGCGGCTTCGCAATTACTCTGGCATGTTCAATGATGCCCAAAGGCCGCTGAGTTCTGCCGCACTTGTGGCCACAACGTTCATGCAGATTGCCGCCGACGGTGGGCGGCAGCAAGCGGGCAAAGCAGCTGCCCGACACTTGCCTGTCCTGGGATGCTTCGGTTTCATTCTCAACCGTCGGTCCTGGGGGACACATGCCGGGATCGATTCTGAGCCGAGGATGTGCCGCAGCCCTTGGGGCCTCTCAGCCGACATCCTTGCTTCTTCTTGTTCTTCGCTTGAGCACTCGATGCTGTCAAAGGGGTGGGCGGATTTCAGCTGTGTATACTTGCGATGATCGCAAGCTGCACTCAGGCGAGGCTGCCTCGAAAGCTTCTGAGGCGGGACGGCTCAAGAAAACGAGCCATATTTGTAGGCTCCCAAGGCTTGTTGTGTCGGAAGGGGTGAAAGACGCAGGCTTGGCTTCGGTGCGCCTCTATTCAGGGTATTCAGGGTCGTGGTCGGACATGCCTTAACAACCAGGCGGATGCACCGGTGAACCTGGCAGCATACTCCGCCGAGCATCGCGAGGCCTGAGTTTGTGAGAGCAGCTCCCGCAGAGTCGCAGAGCTAGCAGTGACATGCAACGGACGAGATGCAGACACTCGTACCATGAGTCAGTATGGGAAAAGGTGAGTGAAGGACATGTCTGGGCACGAAGTTATCAAGGAAGAACTACACGGAGCGAGCTTTCCTTGTTAGGAATTCTGATCTAAAGCCCTGTGCGAGCGCTGTTTTTCAGAGTTGCAGCACAGGCCATGAAAGGCAAAACTCCCAATTGATCTAGGTCCTCGTTCTTTTTCGGTCGTCCTCTCTGCACCGAGAAGCCCTGGCTGCTGCAACAATGGAAAGCAACAATGCAAAGCAACAATGGAAAGCAAGGTGAGTTTGGCGGCCCTGTACCCGGAGACGCATCGCTGGATCCAGCGGCGGGAGGGCGAGTGAGTTTTCCGAAATCTGTCAGTAAGCGAGCCCTTGATGAATGTCAGGTAAGGATACCCTTGGCCTTTAGGGCTCGATGTCTAAACTCACGAGAGATCTGGGGTACTGTAGGTGCCAATAATGTCTTAGGCGCTTTGTGTCACCTTGGGGCAGAAACCTGCTCGTGCCTGCTCGGTTGTGCAGAGCAGGTTGCTGTGGGGGCCATGGCATGTCAGCGTGCCAGTCGACATGCTTCCAAGCGAAACAGTTCTTTGTGTGCACTGCTCGCGCACCAGCTGGAGGGATTCATCGCCACATGCCCGAAGCTTTCATGTTCAGCTTCAGCTGTTGCAGCCTCGTGCAGATTGCCCATAGGTGGAGTGTGCTCTTGCAGCTAGCCGATCATGCTTGGCTGTTTGCAAGGTTTGCACTGCTCGCCGTCAGCTCTTGCTCGAGAGGTTGGGGGTAATGCAGGGCGCAAGCAGGCTGTAAACATGATGATGCTCAGAAGCAGCTCTCGCTCCTGCAACGTTTATGCATGGGCATGAAAACTGAGCTGGTTTGGCCATATCAAGCAGTTCTTCCTCGAATAAGGCATAGGCATAGGCATCGCAGCAGCACGCTGTCCTGCAGTGAGGCAATGGCCCGGGGCATAGATTCGTTGATCACTCGAGACTCGAGCCAATCGAGCCGATCTGGCTTGCCCAGCGACTGCCGGAGCAGCACTTGTGCAACTGTCTGGAGTTTGTTTTTTCCTGCAAGTTCTAGCAGACAGTTCTTTGCACAAGCATGCCTCATTAATAGGTCGGCAGGTCTGACGGTCTAACCGCTCCGCTCCGGCCAGTGCCGGCGTGTTGAGAACAGACCGCCCCTTGCATTCCACATGGCAGAATTCATGAGAACCTTTGAGCTTTGCCACGCATCCTTCATCGAGAGTGGCGCGTAGTTTTACAAAGTCTTGCCCTCTGCGTCATGTCCGGTGTGGCAGTGGGTTCTCAGTGCAAGAATCAGAAGCTTTGTAGGCACGACGTGCCATGAGAGTCAAGGCCAGCCGCCCCTGCCGGCCCAGGCTCCACCGCCGGTCCACCCGGAGGTGAAGACGCTCAAGGAGCGAGGCGATCAGGCGGCACATTGACATTTCCCGGATTCAATCTGTCTGATTTGTTCCGAGCCCACTTGACTACGATGCTTTCAAACATGCTCGGCATATGCCGGGTGATAAGCACTTGTATTTTGCTTGTGCGTGTTGGCTGCGATTGGCTCCAGCTTAGGGTGGACGCGAAGATGATGGCATGAAACCTGTCACGGCCGATTCTGAGCTTAAGATATTCAAGTCTGCGAAACAGGCGCACAGTGTGCCGCATTGGAGGCTCAAGTGAAAGCGAGCACAACTGCAGGGAACTAACTAGCTATCCTGATTCTGGACGTGATGTCCCATTGAGATCTCAAGCGAGAGTTAGCCTGTTTGCCATCGCTGCCGTTGCCAGCGCCTTAGCGATGCGGGGTGAGGGATGTGCAAGCAAAAGCAGTGCCACATGTGGATTCGGCTGCCAGTGGTCGAGGTTCATCATCAGCATCCCGTGTACAGGTGCTGGCATGGATCCCTTGTTGCAACGAGTAGCAGGTGTAGTGTTTGCCATACCTTTTGCAGCACTTCAATGAGACTTCGCACAATGCCAATCGCGTGGTCAAGCCAAGGACGGCGTTTTCTCGACAGAGAACCGGTTTCTGATAGAGATCAGCCCCCGGTCTGAAACAGCCATTCACATCCGAAGTGAGCGGCAGAGAGGGTCAGAGAGACTTGGCCCAAGGCAACCAGTCCAACAAGGAATTTGTTTACGATGGCGACTACCTGCGTTGCGGTGACTCTTAGATGCCATGAGCCGCTGAGACTCCGCGGTTGGGCCTTGCAGTCCATGCTTTTTATCGAGGAATGGAAGTCCGAGAGGACCAAGCCCATCCCGGCTGAGATGCCCAGCATCATCGAGTGATGTGGCTGAAAATCTGCAGTAATAGCTTCAGTTGTGGCTTTGCAGGAGCCACTTCTTTTCAAAAAGACAGGGGTAAGTTCTAGAGCCCGGTGTATCTAATGCAGAACCCGGACGCTGCACGCAACGGTTGTTCGATCGTGGTTGTTCGCCTGCTCCATCTTCGGCAAATGCTTCACATGTTTAGAGGTCTTGGCTTGCGCATGCGTCGCTGTGACATGCAGACTTCAGGTTCGAGTCGCAGCAGATCAAGGGCGTGGCTGGGGTAGCGTGGTTTGTGGACAAGGAGGCATTCGATGGCACTTGCATTTGCCGGCATTGATTGATGCTTCCGTGTTGGTGCACGGCTAGCACAGGTTGAAGCGCATGCCTGACTTGCGACAGGACAAGGAAATCTACTTTTCTGTGGCTCCGGGCTTGGTCCAGACACATGTGGTGATGTTAGCCCATCCGTATGCTTTGTGTGAAGCCTAATGAGGGATCATTGCTGACAAAATGTGCTGTCGCCTTTCGAGACTGCTTACTGTAGCACGACCACGCATTGCCTGGTGCAACGAGAAGTCTGCTGCAACGAGAAGTCGTGTCGAGCCTTCGGCCCTTGGTTGGATTTTGGGCTCTTGCCGATTCTTGCCACAGTCATTAATGCAGCCATAATTCTGCTCACTGCGCATTCTGCGATCTCCACCAGGCCTTCGCAAACCCTCGGCTTCAAGAACCCAGCTTCGCAACTCGGCCGAAAGTTTTCTAGAGAGGCACCTCGGTCAGACTAGTGATAGGCCGAACAACTTGGGTTTAGTATGTAGGCCTTTGTTGGGCACACTCGAGACGCTAGAGTCAACATGAATCTAGCACTCTGCGAGGCTTGCTTTCTGGGCCTTCCGCCACCGGATCTGACCCTTGATGCAAGTAGTGTTGAGGAGTGTCAGGCAGGCAAGGATCCCGGCGCCGGGCAAGATGTTGCTTGCACGTTACAGTAAACAGTAGTCCCGGCCGCAGAAGACATGTTAGATTTTAGATCACACCCCACTTCGTCTCAGGAAGGCCGAGCTAGACTTGGCCCAGCCGCTGCAGAGGGGTGCCCAGGCCGTTTCCTCTCCGTCACAAGTGGACGGTGTCTGTTTTGCAAGACTTGCTGTCTCTCTCTGTCTCTCTCTATCTCTATCTCACTCTGCCTCTCTCCGTCTCTCGCTGTCTCGCATCCGTTTCACGCATTCTCCTCGTCACGCTGCGCTGAGCGTCGCTCAGAAGCTCGCTGATGTGGGCCTTCGCCGCAGGTGGTGTCCCCTTGTACGGGCTGTGCATGGCTCGCAGCCGCAGTTACTTGGCTCATGGCTGAAGATCGCTCCGATTGAAAGATAGCGACATGTATGATTGTAGACGTTACGCGAGGTCGGGAACTTGACTGCGACTTGCTTGCAGACTGAATGCCTTGCGCCACGTGGGAGACCCGTAAGCCCGCCTTTACCAGCCTATCAAACTAGGAGGCTTCTCCTCGATACCCTACGAGCGCAGAGGGTTTGGCGATAGTGCTGCGACGAAGCTTGTGTGCATCAGCGCTTTCTGGTACTTGGTCTATGTATTGCGCACTTTCGGGAGTGGGCCCTCGGAAGACTGCCTGAATGCCCCCCCACGCAGTGCTGGACTAAGGTTGTCAGAGCTGCTTGGGGAGCACTTGAGTAGCAGACTCCTAGTCGAGTGTCAGCTCACAAGGCAGAACACGTTTTCCAGCGGGCCATGTGTTGCATGGACTTATGGAGTTGACTTTAGAAAGGTTACAGTATCCGGAAGTGGGTGGAGCGAAGTTTTAGGGCATGTTGAGGTCACTATTTTCCAAAGTGACAGCCTGCCGCGCTTCCTGCCGCCTCGGGCGTCAATGCCCACCCCGGCTGCTGCAGCGGCTCCGGTGGCATCCTGAGCCTGTGAAGTCATCGAAACAGAGCTTTGCGCCAGACACGGCCTCTGCCTTGGCACTCTTCTAGGAGAAAGAGCCAGAGCTCCCGAAGCCCTCGGCGCCGCCATCCGACTGCACAGACCTGGCAGCGCCTGCTGGCCGGGACCTCGGTCGCAGGACTAGCAAAGCAAAGCGAGCAGAAACAACAAACATGAAGAACACCCAGCCTTCTTCACCTCGCCTTGTCGGGGGAATGCGTCTGTGCTTGAGGTGCCCAGGACTTGCAGCAGCAGGAAGAGGAGAACGCGAAAGCAGCAGCTTGGCTTCAGTAAACCTTGGATGTTCAATGTGTTGTCTTGCCTGAAGAGACCCAAGGTTGGAGCATTCATGAACCAGACCCGCCCGAAGGACCCATCACCCAGAGGTTTCTGGCAGTGTCGGGACTATCTACATGTATATTGCGTAAGACTAGGTCACAGAATCCTCAGCCGGGCATCATGAAGTCGACAGTTGCGGCCACGGATGGCTGACAAGTCACGAAAGCTAGCCTAGCGGCGTAGCGAGGCTTTCGTTTCTATCTGCAGAAGCAGTGGGCCGGGACAGCCGGCCCAGACGCAAGAGAATGGATATATCGATGAAAACAGCCCCCCTCTCCCCCCCTGCTCCCTCCCCTACCCCCCTTGCTCCCCTTCCCCCTTCCGTCCTCACTCTTGGTTGGATGTGCCGGAGGTGATGATGCCATCTCCGTTTCCCAGACCCAGGGTCTTTTAGGGTTTGGTCCAACATACTTTTCGGCATAGCAAGGTGCCTCCCCTATCGTAAAACACAGGGTGCAACATACTTTCGGCATTCCTTGGCGTCTAGCTGTCCAGGTGCCTTTCCTATCGTAACACGCTGATGCGGTTCTAGTTGCAGGTGAGGAGTCCGCCTCGCAGCTTTGTTTCCCCTCCATTGCTGATTGCTGATGTGGTTGAACGTCGGATGATGCTTGGAGCCCACCTCGCCAGCTCGGTATCGCTTGCCGTCCCTCCAACCTCGGCTAGCTTGCGTTCCCCTGGCCCCACCATTCAAGTCAGAAGTGCCACTAAGTCAAGCATCGCTTGTGTAGCAAAGCTGAATCGTGTCAGTCACTCAAGGATCTCCAGCGTGGCTCGCCCACAAAATTAAAGCTGAACAGTAGGCTGCTGGTAGACAGCTAGTATGCGGTTTGCCGGTAAGCTGTTCGGAGAGAAATTTCTTCCAAACAGGACGCTGCAGATGGTTTATGGAAACTCAGCTGAAGAAATGGTGACTGCTTGGATCTGTTTGGACCATTCCGGGCTTAATGGCCTTGCCAACTGCAAAAGCTTGGTTGCGGGTGCTGGAGCTTCAGTCCGGGTTCTTCGCTGGAGCGTTGTATGGCCGTATTGCGGCGTTGTGTATGCGGCCTAGCGGACATGGCGTGAGATCGGGAGTGCTCTCAGGAGGGGCTTGTCGACGGCGACCACGAGCATGGTGGCTGGCCTTGGAAGCGTGGTGGTGGGTGGATACTCGGGCTACCAGTCTGGAGGCCTGGAGCGGCCAGCTGACTTTCAGCCTGGGCCTGAACTGGCACTTGGAAGGTGGCCTCGGCATGGCGAAGGGCCTGGGTGCTGGCTTGGTCTCAGGCCGCAGTTTTTTGTGACTTTGAGATGTCAGTGCGAAATTCATGGTTCTGCATGAAGTGGCGCAGCTGCGGGGGTGGTTTCTTGCAGGCCCGAAGATAGAACTAAACAAGGAAAAAGCCGCAGTAGTCACCAGCCTCAAGCAATACCGTTGCCTGGGCAGGTGCTGCGGTCGCCGTGGCAGGAACTGCATGCCGCTGTCTTGGCAATCGAACACTCTGACCCCTGTGTGCTCAACGTTTAGTCGCACATCGCTTCTAGTTCAGGTGGAATTGCCCAGATTGGGCGAGGTATTGCCAACACACCTGAGGTGCGGCGCCTTTTCCTGCGTGTGTGTCCATGATGCTCGTGATGTTGCAGGCCATGCGTGGACGCCGTGAACAGAGAGTGTGGGACGATGAGCTTGGGCAGTGGGTGTTGAGGCTGCAAGTCAAGGGGGATGGGCGCCAAGGCCAATCAGTGGGTTATGGAAGTTATGGATTTTGCGGCATTCTTCCGCATGATTCCTATCGCTGATGGATTTTTGGTTTTATGGGTGAGGGAGAAGTGTTGCGCAGAAGCTCTACATTCGGTACCCGACACAAGTAGAACTCAGCTGAGGTGGATATTGACCTGGTCAAACTCGAGGAGCAGGCACAGCCATAGTGCTTCTGAGGGGCTCTTCTGTTGGCACTTAGGCCGTGCTCTGAGCAGCGTTGGTCGCAGGTCCTTGCTGAAGGATCTGATGACGAGGAGGGTGGAGCAAGCGGCAGCCACTCTCCCTCGGCCTCGGTGAAGGAGACGGAGCCTTTTGGACTGAGCGTGAGGGAATCGGACATTTGCTGTCTGCTAGAGCCGCAACTGACCAGTACCAGTTGCCGCATGCCCATGGGCACTAGAGTCCCTTTGAAGATCGCCAAATTCAATCCTTCCGCTATTTGCCTTACGATCGGTTCTTGGTCTCGGATTTGCCATGAACACCGATGAGAGTTACTGAGAGTTTTGGTGGTCGTGGGTCACTGGTGTCCACGCCGGAATCTGGACGGTGAGATTAACATGTTTTGTGGCCATTCACAAGCTCTCCACTTGCACCTATTGCTGCTTAGCCGGCCTCCCTTGAGGGAGAGTCCTTTAAGAGTCCCTTTAAGGTGACGGGTGCTGTGGCTGTTTCTGGGTGTCCAAGGTTTGGCCAGTTTACCCCAGGTACTACGACCTGTTGCGTGTCAAGCCGTCTGCGACTGCCGCCGAGATCAAGAAGGCATACTACAAGGCCCCGACTTGGCCTTGGCAGCGGCGACCGTCAAGTTTCAGTTCGACTTGCCCACGCCCCCCATCCCAGCTTCACTTTCACCGTGGCTTCACATGCCATGTGTTCCCAAATAGCTTCAGCATGCCGAGCCTATCCCAGCACGCAGCAGGAGGCAAGGGCTTGTCATCCCGACAAGAATCCGGGTGATGCGGAGGCAAGTACTGTCATTGATCGGCCGAACGATGTTTCAGACGGGCTCGTCCGAGTGGTATTGAAGCTTGGGCGTAGGCTTGGGCCGCGGGCCTTGATTCAAGTTGAAGTGCAGATGTTCTCGAGCGGTTTCGATCGGTGCTTCACGTCCTTGACTCTTGCTTTTATGGCTTTAGTGGCCGCGCCATTCAGGCAAACACCAAGTTCCAGAAGCTGGCGGATGCGTATCAGGTGAGGTCGTCAGAGAGGAAGTGTGTGTGAGACGAGAGACTACGTCGCCAGCGTCTTGTCCAGGTTCTGTCTGATGCTGACTCAAGGACCCTTGTAGCAGCAGTTAAATGCCCCATGCTTTGACCTTCCCTTGTTGGCTTTGGCTCGCGGCCTCGCGATGAGGAAGAAATATGACAAGGAGGGCAAGGCCGGCATAAAGGAGGGCAATGCTTGGGACTCGGACCCCAGCCGGGACCAGGAGCCATTTCTTGGCAAGCTGAGAGTGCTCACCGAGGTGAAGATGGACCCCTCCACATTTTTCAGCTTGCTTTTCGGTTCCGAGCGCTTCGAACCCTGGATTGGGGAGCTGTCAGCACCCAAGCACAGGGAGATGGCAGAGTCTGATTCTTCATGGGTAGTGTATGCTCTGTGAAGGCATCTGGCCATGCAAACTGACCAGTTTGCTAAAGCCATGGAAAAGGAAGGCACGAAACGGGGATCTATTTACCTCCGAGAGTTTCCTGCTTCTGCGGCGGCACATCGAGGCGGCATCCTAGATCCCACTGACGCCAGCGGCAACATAGCTGACGATGCAGCTGCTGCCTCGGGGAAGGGTATGCTCGGCTTCACGGGCTGTGACTTCGCACTGCTTTTCCTTCCTGCGGGCGCATGTGCAGGGCAGATGGTTTCGTGTTTCTGCGACCATGCATCGCAGGTGTTCAGCGACAACTCCCAAATCTTGAAGCGGCGTCAGCTGCACCGCGAGGCTCAGTGCATGTTTGTCGGGCAGTGCGAGGAGCGAGCAAGTGGCAAGTTTCCTTCTCCAAGTTCCATTCTCGTCACCGTCCTGTGACCCACTTCATCTGTTTTGCAAGAGCGATCACCTTGTTCACCCTCCTCTCCAGCCCACTGTCTTTGTGAAGGCCTCTGGCCTGGAAAGGATGTTGTAGCTTGCAGCAACTTTGCGTGAAGGTGCACTGTGCAGTGTACCTGCGGGAATTCCTGAACGACTTTGTCTACAGGCATTACTCGGAACTCGACCGAGTTTTTTTGCCTCAATCTGTGCACTTTATGAGTCTCCCATCGGTGGAGGCGGGAAGTGTCGCAATTCGAACAGTTGCTTGGACCAGACTGGGAAATGGGGGAAACAGGCGACGTGTCGTAACAGCGCGGCACTGCTTGGGGAGCTGTGAAACTGAATCGCGGAGACACAGAGACTGAGGAAAGCGAGACTTGAGGCTGCGGAGCTCGCCAAGTGCCAATTCGGTGCCTCGGACGAAAGAGCCTGAGTCGCTAGCCGTCGCGGCGGCTCACACCATGGCTAGACGCCTAGACTCCCACCCGGTCCTACACACAACGAGCTTGACTGCCTGGTGCTTAGTAGGGAATGGGGGAATGAGTTATAGGGACTACTATAAGGGACCTTAAGGGACTATCATAGGGATCCATTCCCACATTCCCTAAGTTGAGATTCTCCTCAGGTCCAGAGCTCTTGTCGGCTTTGGGCTCGCAGCTCGGCCCTGCACAGCTCGAGAAGCAAAAGCCTGCGAGCATCTGTGGCCCGGTGGGTGCAGGGGGCTACCGGTGATGCTGTCATTCAAGGATGTACAAGCTCCGCTCCGAAATTTATTTGGCCGATGAATTGGTCGGCCGGTTTTCCATGACGAAACAGGCGGTCGCCTGGCAGAGAATTGGCGAAGCGGCTATTGCAGACGGCTTCGTTAGCAGCCGTGTGTTGATTCAATGATTCCACCTGTCACACTCAGGCTGCGTGGAAGCATTCTCGCCACCTGTATGCATAAAGCGCCGTAGCGCTCGAAGACGCAGCCGATTCGCCGATTGCCACTTTGTTGCTCAGTGCTTCGTTGGAATCTCAGATATGACTTTCCGGCACAAGATGAGCTTTGTTTCGCCCCTCGGCAGTGAGGTCTGGTATCGTCTCGCCTGCTTTCCATACTAATTCCTCGGTGGGATACTTCCCCAGGAACGCTGCGACCAGCCTCCTCCAAGTCAAGCGCGTGCACGACGCTTCCAAGGCTTGGATTGTAAAATTGCACAGGTTCGAGGCCTCGGGCCTTCAGGCTTTGCCCTTGATTGCCGGTTCTTGCCTCAGGCAACTGCGGCCACCGCAGCTGGCACTGCTCCTCCGAGCAGTGCCGGGGAAAGTGATCCAAGCGCCGGAAGCCCACCGGAGCCAACCCCAGAGGAGGTGGCACAGACGGCTGCAGCTGCTGGGAACTTAGCAACTGCACAGAAAAGCAAGACAGGCTCTATGCAGTGTGTGGCTAGAGGTGGAGAAGGCTTTGGACGAAGCACTGCCGCTTTTTCTACAGACGGCTTGGGTCACCAAGCTGCACTGAGCCGGTGCCAGACTGGCGACTGCGTCAGCCGGAAAGTCTGTGTCCACCAGGCGGCTGTCGTCACGGACATCGACTCCACGGTGAAAGAGATAGGTCGAAAGCTCTTGAAGGAGCTGGTCGGGAGCACCGCAGCGGGTCGAAGTTCGATGAAGCTTGAGGCTTGTGTTGCTGCGCAGGACAAATCCGTGCCCTGGCAGCTCCGGGTGCGGCGCTCTCAGGCGCTACAGAGACTGGGCGAGATCTTCGAAGAGGAGCCGCGAGCCGCCGAGGGCATCTCTTTACAAGTCCTCCTTGCGCTTTCAGAGTCTCTCTCGGCAGGAGGGTCGGAAGGCCCTGGAGGCCGGCGGCTCCTCGAAGACCATGACCTCGGAGGTCGCCAAGGCGACCGAAAAGAATCGCCGAGCGCAGCTGCTCGTAGCGCCTCAGAACTCTTCCCGCGAGGCCACCCTGCAGGAGGCGCTCATGGCCTCGGTGAAGCAGCAGCGTTGAATCGGGTTTTGATACCCTCTTTCGTTTCGCAGACGGGGGTTGCCTCGGTGCAGTGCGCGCCGGCCCCGCGCAAAATGGCTGGCTTCCCCAGGATGCACCCTGTTTTCCGGAATGAGTTGCAGAAGCTCCTCCGAGAGGACTTCCGCTTTCTGAGAAGTCTTCTCGAACCTTCGCAGTTGAACTCAGCAAAGATCTGTACTGAGCCCCTTCTCGGAGCCAACTTAACACCGGGATGCAGTTGCCAGACTACTTGGAGACCGGAGCTCGGCTCTGCCTAAGGCCTAAGGGCTTATAACTCACGTGAGGCCTACTTGTAACTCGCTGTAAAGCCCGGCCTCCCAGTCCCCTCCCTGATCAGCGAACGACACAGGTTTTGCCGAACAGGGCCCAGACCGCGACCTCTCAAAACAGTGCTGGACACATCATGCACAGACAATGCTGGGATTCACACAGCGGCATTCAGTTCGTCTAACTGCATCCAATGAGACAACACCAGGCTTATGCCGGCCGGGACTTCGCAGCCGCAACAGCAGCTTGGACACAAGCCGATCCAAAGTCATTGCATGTCGCTGTCTCCGAGCTGACAAGGAGTGCTATTCAGAAGCTTTGGAAAGCACTCCGGATGCCGTCCCTCGGATCGCAACCTCATTCACTGGAAGCTGCAGTGAAATTGCCAGACTGCATCGACACCAGTGTAAATTCGCGGTACTAGACGACCAAATCGACAGATGGCTGACTGCGCTGCTTTCGGAAGCAGGTCGTCCTTTCCAACCGCTCGGCGACTTACGCACAGCGGCGACGATTTGACAAGGCCGTGGTTTGTTGCCACGTGGAGGTGTAAGTCGTGCCCATTGTTTCCCATGGGGTTTGGCCTTCGGCCTTCAGCCACTTGGAGGCGCTTCTTGATGCAGACAAGGCCCTCAAGCTTTGCCCCGGCTGGTCTCGCCTGTGCGCCATGTTGGCGTTGGGACCACATATGCTCATAGCCCCGTCAGCAGACCTACATTCACTCCATCGTGTGGCAAGCTTGCGCGAGGTACCATCGTCGCGGCCATGCCTGGTTCCAATCTTGCAAAGCCTCGCCTCGATCATGCGGCCGTGATGTGGTCATGTTTAGCTGTAGCGGTGTGAGTCTCATTTTCAACACTCGGTCTCCCAGACCAGAGGCTCTGTTCCACTTGGGGCGCTACAACGAGGCTGTGCAAACACAAGCAATCGCATTTCCGTGAACTTTTGACATGCTCTGAGACAGGCGATGGCTGCATTGGAGGAGGGATTGAAGCTTGATGGACAGGCACCTGCAGCTGCTTCAGTCTAGTGTGGGGTGTAGACGCAGGTCTGCAGGTAAAGAGTGAAATTCTCGGTGCAGGACAAAGTGCTGCTGGAGGCAATTGCCAAGATGAAAGAGTACACTGCGCCAGGCTTCAGGGGACGGAAGCCTGCAGAAACCATGCAGCATGCGAGTTTGTAGGGGAAACCAGGATATGGCTTGTGTTGATTTCAGGTGATGATTTCTGGGTTCCAGAGCAGCCGGAGCCAAAGGCACCGCAAGCAACCTTTGATGAGCTCATTGAATACTGCGGGAGCTGCAGACGATTTCACGCAGGCTGTCGTGAAAGAACCGCCTGCGGAGGCGCCGGTGAAGGAGGCGGCAAAGGAAGCGCTTGCCGATGAGGGTTCGCAACATTGACCCTTGTACCGCATGCGAGTTCTGAAGGTGTGCTTTTGCAGCCATACTTGGGGGCAAGGGCTTCCGGCAAAGAGAGTAATTAGAGCTGCCGCGTTTTTCAGGACGCCTCTGCAGAAGCGAAAGCCCCAGCCAAGGGCACACGAGCATGGGACCCAGATTCTAGATGCTGCATTCGGAGAGGATCCTAGGACCTCAGAATCCCGGGCTGAAGGCAGCATCTCCTAGTTACGTAGTTGCAGTTGCCACCTGTTTGGCTTCCGAGCAGCCTTCTGTGGCTCAAATGGTGGCATGAAGGCTTCTTTCTAGCCCTAGCAACATATCAGGGACAAGCCAGCCAGGACGGGAGAACCCTCCACAGGAAAACGATTTCACAACAGCAGCAGTGCGACTTAGCCCGTGCGAACCATCCGTTGGCATCTGCCAAGCAGAGGCCTGGATTGCCACACAATGGAGAGGGGCGAGTTGCCTTTGGTTCCAAAATCTCAGAGGCCACAGGATGGAGCTCGACATGGTGCCGGTGTCCCTGCCGAAGGCAGCAGTTCCGATTGTGCTGCCAGTGCCACCTGGCGGGGTGAAGGCCCTCGGTTCTGCAGTTGCAAGCCCGACAAGAAAGCGGTTCTAGACAGAAGTTAGTGGCTTCTGAAATGCACTGCATCTCATGAAGGTCCTCCCTCGTTGGGCAGAGGAGGACGAGGCACAACTTGCAGATACTTGCAGCTGAGGAGCCATTTCACTTGCTGCGAGCCTTTCTTGCTTACCGAGCAGGTCTGCAGATGGAGACTGAGATATCGGCCTCATACGAAGGCGATACAGGAGGATCCGACCAGCAGCTCGACATGGCTTCACGATGCTTCACGATTGGAAGGGCTCATCGTGTGAAATCTTGTGGTGCTGAGGCGAGTTCGATGAGGGTGCTGCTTGGGTCGAGCTCGAACTTCGCAACTTCACGCGTGAGCTGCCCCTCGCGAACCTCGACTTCGGAGCCTTGGCAACCGTATCATCGCAGGCGCGACCGCTCTGCTCCGGAAGTGGCTCGGCTGGCCGAGGCCTCCTGCACGACTTCAAAGTGGCCATCCAAACTCCCGAGGCGAGGCGAGTGAAGACTCTCGCGTTGAGCGAGTGAAGCTTTCTGTGTGGTCCTGCAAGGGCTGGTCGGACTGGAGCGTGGCGGCGCAGTGCGAGGCATGGGATGACATGGCTGGCAAGGGTTGCTTCTAGTGGTGTCATCATCCGATTAATCTCTCGAGGCCCAACAGGTCGTTAAATCTGTACAGTCGCCGAAAAAAAGCATCAAGACATGTCAGATGCTCATGCAGCGCAGTGGTGCTGGTTTCAGCGTCGAGGCTCCTCCTCCACAGCCCCCTGGAAAGCTGGCTGCTCTTCTGCCACGGGTGCTCGATGTGTCTTCGGAGCCTCATCTGCATGATGACAAACGCGGTGGATGGCTACCAACCACAGCGATGGCCATTAAATGCCGCTTGAATTTTTGGTTTTGTGACAGGTGAAGGTGCGCTGGACTCCCCCACTAGACTGTGCCACAGCAACTTGACAGAAGAGGAAGCCAACGGAGCTCTCTTGTCCGCAGAAGAGCAGGATCCCGTAGGCATTGCAGCCTTTTGATTCGATGCTCGGCCGCTGCAAGACGTTCCCGCTTGTCAGTCAAGTTTGAGCTGGGGCTTGCTGGTTTCATTCTCAACCGTGGGTTGACGTGTGACGCGTCCTTGATTCTTTGCTGTCTCCGCGGCTGCACGCCATCCGTACAAATTGCGGGGCTGTCTGCTTGGATCAGGTCGCACCGGGCCTGAAGATCCAGAGGTACATGATCTTGGTCACCTGGGCACCTCGTGCTGGCGAGGATCCTGCGGAATGCTCCCGAGAGAGTTCTGTCTTAGACATGGAAAGTTGCTGGGAGCTATTGTGTGGAGGAATGTGCCATTTGCAGCAGGCACAGCCTGAACCAAGGATCATACTAACCGATGAAACGGATTCTTATGTCGTCACCGATTTGGAGAGTTTGACGGACTACACCTTTCAGATTGCAGCCGAGAATGCTGCAGGCCGGTGCTTTTCATCTGTCGTGTCGACCAATTCCTGTCTCCACAGGTTGGAGTGAGCTGTCCGATCCGACGGTGCCCGTACAGACCGTGCCGCCGGTGCCGATGACTCTCAATCAGCCGACGCTGAGAAGGGCAACGCACCATTCGGCGGTGGCTTGGCGGATCTGGACGATGGAGTAGATTACATGCTACAAACATTGACAACATTGACACTGATGTTCAAGTTGTATATGTATTTTAGGTCAGCATAGGGCAGTTTCTTGTCAGAGTTGTAGCGTCAGAGCGCTCTTGCAATAACATGTCACGTCCTGTGCAACACTCAAGTGTGGCGGTGACTACTCCAAGCCCAAGCAGATGGATGCACATGTCACGCGTCCTTGAGGTCATACAGTGGCAACATCCCCCGTTCTCAGAGGCACCCGTGCTGTCCTTCCGCTTCCGCCACACCCCGTAGCTCAGCAATGAAGGTGAGTTTTGGCATCTGACGACATGGTAGTGAAACAGGCTGCCCCCAGGGCACCTTGAAGAGGTTTCTTGCAGTTCAGCAAAGGTCAGCGGACTGGAGCAGTGAGGTGGTGGAGATTCATGATGTGCCGCCCACGCTTTCCCAGTATGTTATTCAGGGCCTAAAGCCGGGCCACGTTTATATCTTCCAAGTCAGGGCAGTGAACCTCGGCCGCACGGCTTTCTCACATAGAACAAGCTCTTCGCACAGCTTTGAACTCTTGTCGTTTTTGCGATTCATGCCTGCATGGTTCGAAGGAACAAGTACGGCATGGGGATCTGGAGTGACAGCAGCATCCCAGTCCGAACCATGGATGGAGCCACACCTTCTGCAATCGAAGACTTGCGGGCCTCCGAAATCTACCAGTCCTTTATTCGCCTCCAGTGCTCGGGCATAATTTCAGGCATTTCCTGCAGCGCTAAACCTGTCCACCTGTTACCTGTCCACCTGGTTTCTGGCGAGGTGGCGGCCGGTGGAGGAAAATGGCTATCCCATCACAGACTATCGCCTCCGCTACGCGCACACAGAGGATGCCGAAGGTAGTTTAGGTTTGACAGGCTGGTTTATACGTTGGAGCATTGCGTAGCCTCAGGGTCGGCTGCAAAAATTCGCGAAGCATGGGAGTAGCTCCAGGGGAAGAGCCAATCCGCGTCATTGACACTTTAATCGCTTAATTTAAATTTCGGTGCCCACGTGCCTACACATGGGCTGTTGCTCGGACGGAAGCGTCCGCAACAGCGTATGTACAGTCCGAAATGCCAGCTGTCATCGAATCTTTTGAGGACATGGCAGATGCCGTGGAGGCTGTTCCAGCCGTCGCAGCTTGCCTTGTAAAACATTCAGTCAGGAATAGTCGAAGAGCAGCTGCGAAAATTGAGCACAAGGTCCGGGACAAAGGGTTTGACACTTGCGACATCCGCCATCTGCGAAAGCTGAAGTACCACTTCCAGGCACCAACGCTTCGTGGAGAGTGCGCGGTTGCGGGTGTGATCCTGAAAGGGAGGAGTAAGCCTGAGGCACTTCTGAGGCTAGAACATGTCGTCAGAGCTGTGCAGGTGGCGGCCATTAACCAGCTGGGCATGGCAGAGTGGAGTGAGCCGGTGCTGGTGGATATGTCTCACTGACTCAATGAAACCATCCCGTAGACCAGGCGCCACGGCGTCTGGAGAATAAGAGGACTTGTCTCACTGCTCACGGAGGGGTCAACATGGCCCCGTGCTGCCCACACGCAGAAAGTAGGGACCGTAAGATTACGGCCCTTGGCCCTGGACTTGCTGAGCTGCAGCATTAAGTTCTGCTGAGGCGGGGGCCTTCTCGCAGGCTCGCGCGAAGGCCACAAACTCGAAGCCGGAAGGCCTTCGGAGCGGTGAGCTCTCATGGGTTTGGGTGGCGAGCAGCCTCCGTCACAGGCACAAAGCCAGCTCAAGAGAAATCCGCCGAAGCACCGTGTCTGAACTGTGGCATGCGCTTATTGCTGGCAGGCCGAATTTGGAAGCAAAATTGTTTCTGCTCGTGTCAGGAGCTGCGAGAAAAGGGAAATTCCTTGTTCCGCAACCCGGCACAAGACAAGTTTGCTTGTTTTTCATCGGGTAGGATGTTGAGGTGCCATATGTTGCAATCAATCAGCCATCCAAGCGATGCACGTGTTTGCTTCTTTGTTGACTGCGGCACCTTCGGAATGCCACCGTTATGTTGCTGTGCCAGGAGAAGGCAGCCATTCCAAGGCCGTGCGCGCGTATGACGAGGTCTCGAGCTGTGGGAATGTGTTAAGAAGGTTAGGTCTGTTTGGGAATCCGTTGAATCAGGCGATTCGAGCCGACGCGAGCGATGCCAGATGCTGCTGGCCCAGTCAAGTGGTGCTTCCGTGGGGGAAGGGACACTCGCCGGGCGTGTCCCAGGTTGGGCAAACCGCGCAGCTGCCGGGGCACTCGGCAGATTCTTTGCTTCTGAGCTCCGGCACCCAGCAGCTGCTCTTGTCCGGGGCCCGACTTCCGAGGCCCAGATGGCCATGCTGTCTGAGTTTGGTCAGGGGCTCTCGCCGGCGGCCATGCGCTGGGGCCCAAGCATGCAATTGAAGCGCAGCAAAGGCATGTAAAGAGACCTCTTAGGCACAAATCCTTACTTTACCAACTCCATGAACGACCTCAGCGAGAGCCTGAAGTTGGATGCCAAGTACACCAAGGCCGGCATTTATCTGGCAAGCCATCTCGCAATCCGAAACAGCCAATTTTCAAGCAAAAGAACTTCAGCATGGAGACAGTCGAGACAACATCCGTTTTGATGGTGCTTCGTGCCTGTTGGTCTGAACAATCTGCAGGCAAGGCTGTTTCCAGCACAAGTTAATAACAGTGGTCAAGTCTTCAGCTGAAGGAAAGGTTCCCGCAACAGCTCAACTTTTTCATCTACCTTAGGATGTTTCTCGAGTTACAGGTGCGCAGTAATTCAGACCAAGCCGCAGCACCTATCGAAGATCCAAGGCGACGTGGCGTTAATGCTGCAACGTTGAAGGCTGCACTCAGCCAGGGATGATCGCTCAAAACAGTATCACATCACTGCGAAAGCAATCGACTCGCCCCTCCCGGAGGCCTGGGCACGCAAGGGCCAGCTGCATGCCATGGCAGCGGAGGCTGGGACTGAGGGGCTGAGGGAACGTGGAACTCTCTGCACAAACCATCGCCGAAAGTTTCCACAAAGGATTTACAACACAGGAACAGAGGTCAGTAGCCGCCACTTTTGTAGCCCTCTAATCGGATCGGGAAGACAGTTTGGTGGCCAGCCGGACCAGGAATCGGAAGGCGAAATCGAGCCTGATGGTCTTCTGTATGTCGCCGTCGTGCCTTTTGGGCCCAGCTGCGACAGAACATAGTCGTACGTGCAAGGCATCCAAAAACTGATTGTAAGAAAGCTTCCAGTTTGTGAGTTGATGTAGCCAGCCGCAGCAATCCACGACGTCGTAGCAAGTGGCGGAGTATGAGTCGGAGCTCCGTCGGCCATGTCGCTCAGGGGCTTTCTGGCTGAGTTCGGGGCTACTTGGCCCTCGGACGGCTCATGGAAGAGCTTTTGGGCCCGGAACCTGAGGCTTCCGGGACTGGTCTTCTGTCTTGGGCTCGCTACAGCTCTCGCTCTTGGCCTGCTGCTGGTGAAGGCCGGGCTGGGGTGTCCCTTCCAGTTGCGAGGTTCAGGGTGCAACGAAAACGGGAACTTTGTTGCCGTGGTGTCCTCTGGTGCTGTCCTGTTTCTTTTAGCACGATGGTTTTATGGTACGAATCACTGCGAAGACGCGCAGGCAGATAACATAGTCGCTCATCAATGGTGGGTTGCATGTAGTTTGATGACAGGTGCATCTGAAGGCCACCTACGGCTCCACAAGCCCTGCGAGACGTTTATGGATACAGCTAGCAGCTCTGGGTGGCACGAATGTGATGGGCATCTTTCTGGGGTTCTTCTACTTGTACAGTTCGCAAAGTCATTCTCAGGCCAGCCTTGTGCTGACCTCCCTGGCTTCGGAAGCGTGGAAAGTTGCTGACATGACATCTGCCATGAATCTTACGACAAAGTCTTTTGCTCACAACCTGGACCGGCTGTACTCAGAGTGTCCGAAAACAACGCATGAGTTCCTCGGGTCGTCCATTGCCGAACGGAAAGGAGAGCTCCAGGTTGCCAGGAGCGCTTTGGCAAAGCTCGACGAGACGCTGCAAGATCTTCCAGGTCTCTTGGCGGCGCTGGCTTCTAAAAGCCAGACGCTGGTCGCTTCTTTGGCGTGGTGTCAGTTGCTGCCACTTGCAGGTTTGATGGCTTGCCTGGTCGCTGCGGCGGTCTTGGTCTTTATTGCCGAGTATTCCGGCCCGAAACTTGCGAACAGATGCCGCTGGTTCCAGCTCCCATGTTTAGCCTTTACTTTGATAGTGCCCGTGCTTGTCCTCGTTGCTGGCTGTGCTGCTGCGGAGCTCCTTGTGGCTGTGCTGTCAAGTGCGCAGTGCAGCAGACCCGAGATGACAGTCCTAAACTATGCACGGGGCGAGCTTGGGAGGTCAGCAGCCTCGAACCTGACCCTACAGTATGTTCGCAACGCCACCAGAATTGGTGCCATAGACGACATCCATGTCCTGCACATGCGTCTGTCCTCGTGGGATGAGTGGGTAACCACCTATGGTGAGGCGATCGAGCGAAGCTGCCCCGCGTGGGATGCCGCCAATGTCTCGCAGAACCTGAGAGCAATGATAACTGAAGTGCGTACGGCTAGCGATCTCATGGAGCCCGCACGCATGGTGCCGCAATGGACTCGATTCTACAACCTCGTTTGCGGAGCAGGCATCTCTGATGTGTTTAGGGTATTTCTAATGACGCTGGTGCTGGGCTTTGTTTTCCTGCCTCTCCTGGCATGCAGCATGAGCTGTTTGCTAGAACACCTCGTGGCCGAACGAGGCCCAACAGGTCACGGCTACGGCTATGCATTTAACAGGCTCAGCACAGAAGATGCTGATCAGAGCTCATAGGGCCACTGTGTGCTGTGCATTCTGTGGGAGACAGTCTTGTAAGATGTTAGGCCTGCTGCAGAAGATGCCTGGCGTTGCAAACATGTGTATGGATGGGTTTTCGGTACACAGATGTACATATGCAGATGCATATACATAGATGCAGAGCGTGCTGCATCTGCGTGTGTTGAAACTGAACGCACTTTTCAAGCGCGGGCTGCATGGTCATGTGGTGTTGACATGGAGGTACACTAGGCATCTGCTGCAATGTCGGCGGAAGCCCGACCTTGGCAAAAATGCGCGCAGCTTTCTTGCGTTAGACTGGGTGCATGATAGCCTCTTCAACAAAACCCCTGAGGACCAGCCCCGGAGCCCAACGGGCCCAACAGCCATGCAGATGACTGCCTCAGTTGCACAGACACTTAGGATCGCTCAGGCAGGCACGGAAGAACGTACACTCAATGAAGCCGTCATGACTCGGCGGACCCTGTCCAGTACAGCGACGCTTTGGCTGCGTATGACCGTGGCCTCGCAGTGGACCCGACACGTCGGGGCCGCCGGTATGATTTCTGGGCCAGCTGTATTTGGGATCCGTCTACTGTTAACGACTTGCCAATTCCGACATCTCCCACATGTAGCTGGCAGTTCATGGCAGGTTGGGGGTTACCTGGCAATAGATGCACCAAGATTCACCTCCAGTTTGCAAGGGTATCTTCTGGTCAAATGTGCCTATTTTCGCTGCTCTCCAACTTGGAGCAGCTAAGCAGCTACCTGTGAGTGGATTTGGAGCTGGGTCTTGTGCTCGAGGGAGTGGGTTGGCTTGGCTGCTGCACACGTGCGTGCCCGCAGCATTTGCGCTGGCAAAAGAGAGCTGAGCTGAGCTGAGCCTGGCCCGCCGCCATGCGCCTCGGCACAGAGTCTGCGACATGATGCATGGCAGAGAGCTCCGCCAGCTCCGGGTCTGTGCGTCTGCCCGAGGTCCCAGAAAAACCTCAAGAAGCCGCAGTCGGCCAAGCCGAAGGCGTCCGACAAGGATGCCAAGCAAAAGGAGGATTCTGTGCGAGCCCGAGGACTTGTGGGTACCAAGCGGTGAGTTCAGGAGCATCGGAACAGCATGAGGGCCTAACGTGTGAAAGTCTAACCGAGGAGCTGGACATTGAGGAGCTGGCGAAGAAGTACAAGACCAACCTGAAGAAGGGACTCACAGGCAAAAAGGCTGCCGAAGCTTGTGCCTCAAGAAGTAGCTTCACTTTCTCCCGGCCTGTCCCCAGGCCCCAAACCAGGCAGGTTCCGAATGCAGCCCTTCCCAGCCGGTAGCTTTTCTACCCCACATAAGGAGATCCTCGAGAGAGATGGATTGAACGAGTTGGAGAAACCGCCCAAGCCCACGCTGCTGATGCTCTTCCTCATGCAGCCGCTTGGCTTGCACCGGCACGTGTGTGCAAGGGCCCCGCAGCATCTCACGCAGAGGCTCACGAGCTTCATCATCATCCTCCTCATGGTGGCAGCCGTGGCCTCCATCCTCGTGAACGCCACGGGCCCTAATGCTGCGGATCCGCTCTCCTACACGACAGGCTCGGCTTCACATCGCCATGCCGGTTCACAGGACAGAACATAAAACCTGCAGACCCGTGTTCTGCGAGGCATTGCCATTGCCGCCCGTCTGCAAGTGCGCTTGCAGAAGCACCGTCGCTTGCATTCCTCACAGTTGTCCTTCTGCGACATGTAATCAGAAAGCCTTGGCAGCGTTTGGGCTAGGGCATC